AGAGTTAGACCCTTGTTTCATGACATCCCAGAGATCAGCAAAAGCTTTTCTGTAAAGCAGATCAACCCAAAATAACAGCCACTAATGCAGCCAGTGTATTCATTACTAATGAGCTGAGAATAGTTGATGAAGGTCAGGAGATAATAAAGGGGAGGTCCTGACAGGCCCTCCTACTAGTTACAGAAATTTTTCCTGCTGTACAGTTGTGTCTCACTTCCCAGGGTCTCTGTTATTGGTACCCATCCTTGCTGGATAAAAGCCCATTCCCTGCCCTTGGCACACTTGCACATGGTGCCTATGAGCTGCAGCTGCTGTTGATGCCGAAGAAAAACTCAGGTTGTGTGGAAAGCATGAATAACCAAATTAAATAATTGTTTTCTCTCTCTTAACACAGAAAATCACAGCACCCCTTATCTATGCTGTTTCCATTGCTGCCATTGGATCTCTCCAGTTTGGGTACAACACTGGTGTCATCAATGCTCCTGAGAAGGTGAGAGAGGGAGAATGAGTTGTGGCTGATGAGAAAATAAAGGGGTAGAAAGGAGAGGAGCTGTCTCCCAAGGAGCTAACAGTTTTGTTCTAGTTTATGAATTCAAGGAAAGAAGACATTAAAACCCCCCTCTCCACTACAACAGTGGATAGGAAGGGCAAAGTTTTGGGGAGGAGAGCAAGCAGAGAGGTTAATTCCCTTAATTGGGAGTGCAAAGGGTTGATTAGGACAGGAGGGGTCTGTCTGCCATTTTCTGGTAGGTCTGTATTTGGAGGTATGTGAGCCACTTCAGTTTTGAGTCAGAATAAACCAGACATGGCAGAAGAAATGTGAAGAGCAGCGTGCAGAAAACAGTTGAGGGTTGGTAGGAACTACAGTTGCTCTAGGTAAGTTTATCTCTGGGACCATCTCGGGCTTCTTATTTGTTTATTCATTCCTTGTATTATGTGTAGATTCACTACTTGTAAAACAATTGTGACTGGGGCACTCTGTCCAAATAATCTCATGACTGTAGCCTAAAGAAAGAAGAGAAGAGTTGAAGAAAACAAGATATGTGGTTTTCTTGTAACTATAAGATGGTTCCTCTCTCTCAGGAACTGAGTCACCAATACCACATCCACCCTGTCTCCGGGAATAGATGTCACATCACACTTTGGGGGTGGGGGGTCCCTAGCTAATGTCCTGCTGCCACCTGCTGGGGGCAGACACTATGAGGTCGTGTCTTCCTCAGTCCTTGCAGAATTTCCCTCATTATCAAAGGGGATGCCTTGGAAATCAGCAACACAGCCCCATCACATCCCCATGGGACCACGAAGGACTGTTTTACATAGTGCTGCAGTCTTTCAGGCTTACCTCAGTGAAACTTCCTGTGTCTCTTAAACTGTTTCCATCCCAGAAAGCCTGTCCCTGCTGCCAGAGTTCCATTCTCTGGTCACATTTTCTTGCTCCCTCTCACTCCCAACTGTCTCGCACCTGCCCCCCAAGCATCACCAGTGCTCACATAATCCAGAAATACTAAGACAAGCCCGTTTTCCTTAATCATCACTGGGCCCAACCCCCCACATTCAGTGAAGCAGTCTCTCCCTCATCATACTGCTACCCATCTACTGAACTTCTCAATGAAAGTTCCTCTTTCTGCACTCTCATCTTCCCCTTCTATGACTTGTTGCTGCCTAGTGAATTTTTAGGGTCTATTCTTGCTTCTTTCCTCCATGAAAACAGAAGGAAGACCAGAGAAGTAATCTCCCCTCTCTCTAGTGCAAAATGCCTCTCACTGGATTGTAACTGTCCCCACCTGGTTTCTCTTGCAGATCATCCAGAGGTTCTTCAACAGAACCTTGTCAGAACGGAGCGGGGAGGTTGTCTCCTCAGAGCTCCTCACTTCTCTGTGGTCCCTTTCTGTGGCCATCTTCTCGGTAGGAGGCATGATCGGCTCCTTCTCAGTCAGCCTGTTTGTCAACAGATTTGGCAGGTAAGTTGGGAAGAGGGATCCAGGTCATTAGGTAATTTTTCCCTTCTACAGCGGAGTGTTGGGAGGAAGAGGGTAGAGGTTACAGAGGAAGGCAGGATGAGGAGGCTGGGGAGGAAGCAAGAATGTGTGGGCTGCAGAAAGAAAGAAATGGTTGCAGGCCAGGGTAGGAGCTGAACAGGAATTACTCTGTTCTCCTCCCAGCCCTGAGATGGGGGGTTGTGGGCAGGTTTACTCCTCTCCTAATGATTTCCTAAATGTATGACTGGTTTAAGCTCAGTCTTGACATCTTTACCCTGGCAGGAGGAACTCCATGCTACTGGTGAACATCTTGGCCTTTGCTGGTGGCACTCTCATGGCCTTCTCTAAGATGGCAAAGGCAGTGGAGATGCTGATCATTGGCCGCTTTGTTATTGGCCTCTTCTGTGGTCTCTGCACTGGCTTTGTGCCCATGTACATCAGTGAAGTCTCGCCCACCAGCCTCCGTGGAGCCTTTGGCACCCTCAACCAGCTGGGCATTGTTGTGGGCATCCTGGTGGCCCAGGTAGGCTTGACACAACCTGATCCTGCCCTCGGGGAAAATTGGGGTTGGGGGAGGTCAAGGTGGGCTGCACTTGCCATCAGGTGCGACATGTAGTCCTGTTGCACTCACTGGTGTGGGAGTGAGGAATTGGAGTGTTTAAATCGCTCTATTTCTCTACCATTCCTGGTGTAGATCTTTGGCCTGGAGGGAATCATGGGCACTGAAGCACTTTGGCCACTGCTTTTGGGGTTCACAATCCTCCCAGCAATCCTGCAGTGCGTGGCTCTTCTTTTCTGCCCTGAGAGCCCGCGTTTCCTGTTGATCAACAAGATGGAGGAAGAGAAAGCACAAGCAGGTGAGAACTCATTGCTAAAGGGGCAGGGCTGTGTTTGGGCTCCCAGCCTGCCCTGAACTTGAGTGGGAGGCCAGGACTGATTCTGGAGCCTGTAGTGGATCAGGGTGTGACTCCTGGAGGGCATGAGGCCTACCCTCCCATCCTTTAGGTTGCACCAGTGCCAGGAGATGTGAGAAACCTGGCATCCCAACAGAGACTCCAGGTGGGATTAAGGCATGAGGAGTGGCACCTGGCCTGGTGGGATGTAGCAGGGCCAGCTGCTGCAGCTCTGTTAGCTCCTCCTGAAAGGCAGGAAGTAGGCTGACATTTAACAGGGAGCTTGGGGGGTGTTTCCTTCTGCTGCAGAGGACTGGAGGCAGCTCTGGCAAGTGTGTGAACAGAATTAGGGATCAAATGTAAGTTTGGAGATCCAGCAACATGAGCGGGACCTGGGCCTGGTTTCCATGCTGATCACAGCACACTGATCTCTGGGTTGAAAAGATGAGCAAGGCTGCATGTAGAGACTGGGTTTTTACCACGCAACAGGCCCAAACACTGACTGACTGGTGGTCCAGGCTTCCCAGTGTGTCCTCCCTGAAAGAGCAGGCCATGGGTGTGTTATACCTGGCATTTTTTTATTCTCCCCTGCAGTTCTCCAGAAGCTCCGTGGCACACAAGATGTGTCTCAAGACATCCTGGAGATGAAAGAAGAGAGTGCTAAAATGTCCCAGGAAAAGAAAGCAACTGTGCCAGAGCTCTTCCGTTCTCCAAACTACCGTCAAGCCATTATCATTGCCATCATGCTGCAGCTCTCCCAACAGCTCTCAGGCATCAATGCTGTGAGTTTGTTTGGTTTTTTTTTTTTTTCCTGTCCCATCTGCTGGGCTTCCCTTATCTCTGGCTACACTTGTCCTTGTTGAGAGAACTGTGCTTCCAAAAACCCCTTTTCACAACTTGACTGGAGGTCACTGTTTTGTGATAACTGCAGAGATTGCCAAGATGGAAGGTGGAGGTTATATTGGTTTTCACTTTTCCAATACACACCCTGGCAAGACACTGCAGCCTTGCATCAAGTGAATGAACCTTGACTGGAAGCATGTTGTTTTATACTGTTGAGTGCTTCTTAGAAGCTCCCTGTTGGGCCTGCAAGCCATTAGGCAGGGAACAAAAGGTGTGCTCTCAAACACTGGAATCGTGACGGTGTTCAACTTTTGCTTCTCTTCCCAGGTATTCTATTATTCTACAGGGATTTTTGAAAGAGCTGGTATCACACAACCTGTGTATGCCACCATTGGAGCTGGTGTGGTAAACACAGTCTTCACTGTTGTGTCGGTAAGTAGAACAGGGCCTTAACAGTGAGAGGTGACTTATCTGCATGGGCTTTTTTGGGAGATGTGACTGAGGACAAGTAGCCAGGCTGTGGCAAAGCATTGGGCTAGGCAATGGCATATAAGAGCAAAGGAAAGAATGCATTAAAGGCACTGTGGGAGAAGAGGAGGGGAGAAAGCGGTATTGTTATCCTTTTAGAAGAAAGGGAGGGTGAAAAGGAGTGCATCAGGGGAAAAGAATGATTAGAGAAGGCAGTAGCAAAAACTAGAAAGGAAAAACCTGTGTCAAGGATGGAGCAGCCTGGTCACCTGCACAGAGATCAGCACTAGTACTGAGGGCTGTGGGCAGATAAAAATAAGAGGTACACAGCATGCTGAGCAAGGGAGCCTCTTCTGCTCTTGCTGCCAAAGTAATGGATTTTTTTTCTTCCTTCTGCCATATTTCTAGCTGTTCCTGGTGGAGCGTGCGGGGCGCAGAACCCTCCATTTAGTTGGTTTGGGTGGCATGGCTGTGTGTGCTGTTCTTATGACTGTTGCCTTAGCTCTGAAGGTGAGTAATTGGTGTTCTTCTCCAGGCTGACCCCAGCAGGGGACCTATAAGACTATGTCTGCTGTGCCCTGCAGCTCTGCCCTGTGGGCAGGTACAGCTGGGGCTAGGGCTGAGTGTGTGGTGGAGAGCGCAACTTTATAACGGCAGAATCTATGCCACAGTGTTCACAGTGCAGCTGAGAAAGCTGTGATGCTGGAGATGGCATTGTGCTGTACCACATGTGCCCCAAATTGCAGCTGTTTTTTTCCCTTGCAGGATGTTGTGGAGTGGATCAGATACATCAGCATTGTTGCCACTTTTGGCTTTGTGGCTCTTTTTGAGATTGGTCCTGGCCCTATCCCCTGGTTCATCGTGGCAGAACTCTTCAGCCAGGGCCCACGGCCTGCAGCCATGGCAGTGGCTGGGTGTTCCAACTGGACCTCTAATTTCTTGGTGGGAATGCTCTTCCCCTATGCAGAGGTAAGGACCCAGTTTGCAAAGCACTGTGAGAGCGCTGCAGCGTCTCACCTTTTTATTATGCAGTCTTAACTGCTTGTAGTTTACAAATAGTTGGAAGAGCCATCTTAATTAGCACATCAAGGCTTTCCCTTTAAAAGTCTCAATTTTGGTCACCCTCAGGAACATTAAAGCATTTCAGAAGTCCATAGGAACCTGATTTCATTTTAAAAGATGCCATTTTGAGAAAGTCAGTAAGGGCACTATTGGAGAAAAGTGTTAGAATTTTGACCTGTTAACAGCAAATGACCTTGCATTTAGGTTTATGAGCTTTTCTCATTAAAACCTCCTGCTTTTGTCCTCCCTGCAGAAACTGTGTGGCTCCTATGTCTTCCTCATCTTCCTTGTTTTCCTGGTCATCTTCTTTGTCTTCACGTTCTTCAAAGTGCCGGAGACCAAGGGCAGGACTTTTGAAGACATCTCCAGGGGCTTTGAAGGACGAGCAGAAGCCAGCCCCACATCACCTGTAGAGAAGAACCCCATGGTGGAGCTGAACAGCATACAACCTGACAAAGAAGTTGCCTAAGATTCATGACACCCCCCTTCTTCGACTCTTACATACTTAGAGTCATTAAAGGAATGAGCAAAGAAAACAATGAGAACTGGGACATTTTTTCCCCCCCTCAATTGCTGCTATTTTCTTCTTTGCACCCACATACTCCCCTGTTCTGCCAGGCTTACCAGCATTAAGTGAATCTGATATGGGTGATCCCATTTTCAAGTACTGGAAGGCACCTGGCACTTGCAAAAATAATCTCATCTTCCCTGTCACAAACATCAGGAGAACAGAGAAGAGCTGGCAATATTTTTGCTTTTCTCATCTGTAATTGCTATTTGGGGTTTAACATACTTATGCACGCAGTGACCACTATGATCTAATTACTATTTTTGTAGTGAGCTGAAGTGACCCACTGAACAAGTTCCCGGCCCTTTGAGTCTACTCTGTGTGCGTGTGTGTGTGCGCAGTGTTACACTGGAATTTAACAAGCCTACCAAAAAGCCATCTCCCTGCTTTTTCCTATCCGGTGTGCACTTTTTTCAGCCTCAGGAAAAAGGGGACCAAGTTACATGGATATTTTTTCCTGCTTTTTTTTTTTGTATAGACAGACTGAAAGCATACTTTTACTTGTTTATTTATTTGTCATGTTGTAAATATTTATTTTTTTAATGGTGTACAAAAATGTATAGATAATGAAATTGAAGATGTTTAAGAGAAATAGCTATACTAACGGAAGATGCTGTAGACTGGAGGTGCAATAAGACCGTAAAGGAGAAACGTGGTACTAAAGAGGCGATGGGGCATTTTGGATGACATGTATGACACAGCCAATTATGCACCTCACCTTTAAGTTATTTGTGCCCTCTGGAAGGAAATGCAAAGAATTGTGTACTAGTAAGAAGTATGTTTGTCCACCAAAATCTCTGTTTGGGATTTTTTGGTTGACAATTTTAAATCCTGTTCCCAAGTGTTGATTGGAGTGTGTGGTGTTGCAGAAAATGAGTGGTGTTTGTATCTGCAGTCATGGCTAAAGCTCATATGGGATGACTGAGGGTGGTGATCGCAAGCCAGAAAGTAACTTTTCCTGCCTTCTCTTGATTTTTTTTTTTCTTTTTGGCTTTTCTGCTGTATTCTGGTAGGTCAGAAAGTCTGAAATTTTCAGATTGTTACAAGGATAAAAATTATTTTCCAAAGCCGTATTTTCTTAGCAATTGTTTTTATAAATATTAGGCAGAGGCATGTAGCATGACCCTTCTGGGCGCAGGCGTGGTCAGCTGTGGCATGTGTAAGCTCATGCAGGCAGAGATGCAGAACCAGAGACCAGAGCTGCTGGAGCTTGCTAGCGTAGCAGTGGGAAAGGTCTGTAGTCCTCAGTCTGCTGGTTGGTTGCAGACCAAATGTTTTTGCCCCACGTGTCCTCTCTGGAAGATCTGCATGATGTTGTGATGCTCCGCAGCCTGCAGCGTAGATGTGTACCGCTCTGCAGTAGTGCCTCTGTTAAAAGGGATGCAGCAGACAGTGATTGTACATCTGTAAATGCTGGTCTCCCGGCCTGTCACACTGCTAGGCAGTCGGGAGTATGGACACACCTGCCCGTGCTGGCACATTTCGGCTCAGGAAGGCAAAAAGTATCCCCTGTGGCGTAACTGCAGTCAGGGGGTGGGAGCTGCGCTTCGCTGGCCGCAGCACTCTGGAGAGAGACTCCAGACCTGCGCAGCCTGTCTGGAGGAAGCACAGAGGTAGGTCTGATTTAAACTCCTGCTCCCAGATCTGCATTTTCAGACTCGATCGAGCTTGGGTCTGCCTGCAGGCTCATGCTGGAGCTCATTGCGGGGTGTCCTAGGGGAGAGGCAGGCCCACAGGTTCCGAGGTGGGTAAAAGGAAGAAAGGCTCAGACAGGCAGGAACGACCTCCAAATTGCTGTAGCGTGGATCGCGCAAGCTTTCTTGGCAGCACATTTCAGAGCAGCTCAGAGGGGTTCCCACTGATGTACATCCTGGGGTACGTAGCTGATATTTTCATTAATGGACTGATGATGTTTCTACCTTCCCTGTTGAGAAACAGTTGCAAAGATCAGCAAAATTTGCTACTGTGAAGTACTACTTGTGACTTCATTTGAAATGTTCCAGCCTTGCACAATGAAATCCTATTATGTCCAGTTTTGTCTAGCTTTCCATCAGGTTTCCATGCCAGATATTTATTCTCAGAAGTATTATATATGACTTCTTTCCTGAATTCCGTATTTTGGCTCAGTTAAACAGATTTTTGTGCCTGCCCTTTGACCCCCCCAGCACTTCCAGATGTGGTATTTCTAGATGGGCATCTGTACTTTAGGAAATTCCCCCTACAGCTGTGCATAGGAGCATTCCATACTTTGCATCAGAGATGTGTGTTGGCTTGGACCGAAACTTGTTGGTCTTTCTCACATGGTATCTCCTTTGTTATTTTCTTTTTCTGTAACAGCGTTGTGATACTTTGGATGGGTTTTATATGCTTATTAATGTAGTTTCTTGTTTTTAAAATAAAAACCATAGAACTAAGTATCTGGTTTGGATTTTACCTTTGCCCTGTAGGTCTTGTCTTTCTTACTCCTTTGTCACAGTATAAATTCCCTTATTGCCCGCCCTTTTGTTTTTAAAACAAAAAGATGTGCTGCTCTGGCTTTGGTTGCCTAAATCCTTTTGTTTGCATCCAAATCCTTTCCTGGTATTTCTCAGTGTCAGGAGGGGAAGGGGAAGCGGATGGAGGTTGGGAATCCTGCCCAGAGCTAAACCACCTGAGACCTGTGCCCCCGTACTCTTTTGAGAGCAGTACTTCTTCCCCAGCGAGGTGAAGAGGGAGCCCTTCCCCCTCTACGTGATGCTTTGCTCCCTCTGCCTGGCAAGTGACTTTGATGTCCTCCCCAGAAATCTTGCTGAGTGTGCTCTGTAATGGGTGCCTGGGAGGAGCGGGGTGGTGAAGAGGAAACCCCACGGCTTGCCAGAGGCCAGTCCTCCCGGGGCCATGGGGTGCCTGACCCAGGGGCAGGTCTGTGTGGTGTTCTGGCCCATGGCTCTCTTGCCGCGGGAGTGCTGAGCACCTGCCCATTGCTGTGAGGCTGCAAGCTCTTGTTCCAGTACACTCCTTTCGCTGTCCCACACTCATCTCTCAGGCCCAGGGAGTCTGTACCTGTGTTTCACAGGTAGAAATTACAGGAACAGTTCATCAAAAAGTAAGGAGATAAAATATCCTTCAGGGGCAGAGGATGGAGGGAAGTGAGAGGAAGGAAACAGAACCCAAGTACCCTAGATGAAGAATGGGGCTAATACAACTCCAGAGGCAGCAGCCTGCACAAAGTAACCAGGGAACAGTAAGGCATAATGTACAGCTTGAAAAAGCTCAGCATAGCATGGAGTCAGTACAGGCTTTCTGAATCCTGACATTACTGATGGCTGAGTGTTCCTTCCTAGCTCGTGCCTGTCTTTAGCAGAGCTTGCTATGCAACTGACCTCAGGGCTGGGGAGTGCTCTGGGCCAAGCTGCCTATGATTGGTTTTTGACTCTGGCTGAGCTGACAAAAATAAAACCCAGCCATCCAAATTCATAAGGTCAAACTTACTTTAACATTTCTGTTTTCCTGTCAAAATGGGAACCAGACAGCAAAATCATTCAGGGCCAAAGCACACAACTCACAGAGCCCTAAACTAATGCTTTGTGTAGTTTTTGTGATAAACTTTTGGTTGGGGAATAAGTCTGTTTTAGATGTGTTTAGTTCTGAAAATTGTAAGGAAGCTTCAAAAGGAAAAGCTGTTTGCAATTAAATGGTTTGAATGCTTGAAGATGAGTTGTTTTCAGTTGAAAGTGTTCATCACATCTGAGCAAGCACCTAGGCAGTTCTCATGGTTGCCACAGTCCCCCACAAAAAATGTCATTCAACTCTGAGAGGCCTGGCCAGAGCAGCAGAGCTAGCTTGGACAGGTATGTCTTTGAGACTACCCACAGAACTGTGTTCTGGCTTGCCGTGTGCAAGTGGCACTGCAGAGACCTTGGAAGCATTGCACAGGCTTCTGAAAACCAAGCTAGCCCCTGGAGCAGTGGCTGAGGTTAAGGTTTAGCTGCAGTGGGCTTTTTTCCTGCTAATATCTTCACGTTACCTCTTGGGTACACTTGGAGCCAGTGAAGTATTACCTCTGGTGGGAAGCAGAACACCCCAGGTCTCTGCATCCCATCCCTAACTGGACCTGAAATGGAAGGGAGGAAGGCAGCAAGGGAGTACAAAAGGAGAATGTGGTAATGAAGTTAAAATTTAATTGGAGAATAAGCCACTTCTTCAATTTGCCACTTCCCTTCTCTTTGCCCAACACCCTCATTACAAAACCTGTGAGCTTTTCAGATGTCACACTATTGGCAGACATGGAGTTCATGCTACGTCAGGACCATTCTGGATTCCATCTCTATTTCAGTTCATTCCCATCTGGGCAAGAGGTTGGCAAGGGAGTTTGCTACCGCCAGAAAAATCCCAAATGGCATGGAAAAGTCTTGATGTGTCCATGGAACCAGATGGCCCTGGGTTGCGTATGGGTAACTAGATCACTGGAGCACCCTTCTAGGAGAGAAAACACTGCTGAGTGTACAAGAGAAGATCCCCAAGAGTTCCAAGTGACATCAACCACATCAAAGGTTTCAGTGCCATTTTACAGGCTGGAGCATGAAGAAGAGTGTCACAACATCACAGCCAATGTTCATTGCTTTTTGCTTGTGTTATTTCTGGTGAACATATTTGTGTACCAGACCAGAAAAGCGGTTAATTTCTGTGAGAAGAAGTGTGAAAAAATATTTTATTGGAGGTAAATTTCGCTGCTGCATGCCCTGTACACAAATCTTCATATCTGATTTTGTGCTCTTTTTAAGTTCCAGACATCTCAGTATCTGGGGAGATCATGGGGATGCTTCTCCTTCAGAAAGGTGGTGAGAGTCCAAGCAGTGCTGCAGTCTTACCTCCAAGCAAAGCTGGTAAGTAGCCCTCAAAGAGTAGCCCTCAAAGAAGCAGCATTTGCTGTTTGGTGGGGGACTGCCCCGTTACCGGTTTCATTTGAGAGGAAGGAAGATGTGGACTCTCTGCTGATGCCATTGTGGTGGGGTCACGATGGAGCAGCAGCAGGAGGTGACTCATGACAACTTTTTCTCATCCTGTACGTGTAATGAGAGAGGTCCTGCCAGCAGGTAGATCAAACACACATTGAGTTGCACAGAAAATTTACACCTCTCTGACTGTTTTTTCTCAGGCTTCCTGCAGACCTGAGCAAGAACACAGTTCCAGGGTTTTCTTCACTTTGAGAAGACATATGAGATGCTTACTGGAAAACCTGGGGCACATGACTCCAGTCTGTCATGCTTATGCTTTAGCCTGGCCCTGTCTTTACAGTGTGAGATACCAGACAAGAGACAGTTGTCTTCACAGTATGCTGCTGGGAGGAGTCAGTGCTCAGGGAAATTAGGCTTGCTGAAACTAGAAAAGAAAATTATTTTGTTTCCTAAAATATGTTGCTAACACTATTAATTGGTGCTACTTTAAAAGTATGCCATATCCAGTGGAGACAGGCTGTGTAACTTTTAAAATTATTCACTTGCTGTGGTAAACCTTGTTTCTATGCTATACCCCACTGAAATACACAGTGTTTACAAAAATTGTCTTTTCCTTCTCCATGAGACATAGCTTCAGCATGTCTGATAGATACATGACTGACCTGCTAAATCTGTTGTCTCCTTGTGTTGCACAACCATTTTTTTTGTTTAGCAAACGGTCACATGGATTTGTGTAAGGCAGTCACATGGTGCACCCGTCAGACCATTGCAGATCATGTACAGAACAAGTAACTGGTCACCCATGCAATGATCAGCCTGATCAAACATCACTCGGTCTTTCATCTCTGCTCTGGTCTCTGTTTCATTCTCTTCTCTTCTCTTCTCTTCTCTTGAACAAATTTGCCATCAAGTACTCAGATGTTTATTGCTTCCTTTATAGTTCTGTGACCAACTGCTATTGTCGCTTGGACTGCATATTATCTTGTTTTTAACTTGTATTCATACATTAAATACTTTGGGGTCTCGACCATTTTTGTTCCCCTCTGCTTTGCTTATTTCTTTCAAAGTGCTCGCTCTGATATGGATCAAAGCTCTCAGTGACATGTCTTAACCTCATACCTCTCCTTTGAGTCTAGTCTAAGACCTAAAGAGTCCACAAGGTTTAGGACAAAGTCACCAGAATGATTTTCCACTGAGGAAAGCATAGGGATGCAGAGCCAGGAGAGGATGAAAGCTGGGAGCCATGGTGAAGGCGTGGAGGGATATGTACGCAGCAGTGTCGCTGGAGAAGTTTACAATGTATGGAAGAGCCCATAGGAGGCTGAATACATAAGGGAAAGAGTGACAATTATATGAGGATGTACTGAAGCAATCAGTAAAAAGAGAATGGTGGGTTGCTGACCTCCAAGAAAAGGAGGAATGAGATGCAAGCTAAAAAACCCCCCAAGGTCTGGAAGGAAGGCAAGGCATTCAGAAGTGTGAGAAGGTAGAATAGGGCTGAGAGAGGGGAGTATGAACTTTGACAGAAGCAGGTGAGAGAATGAGGCAGAGAAAGACTGAAGGGAATGTGCCATAGAAAGGTGACAACCAGAGCACCAAAGTACGGGCCCTTGAGCTGCATGCAAAATAACATGAAGCCTCGTAGGATTCTGGTAGCTTATGACTCACAGGCAAGACATCATCAGTTCTCGAGGGAAAGGGAAATACAAGTGTCCTCTCTACTATGAATGACCATGAAAACATTTGCAGCTGAAACAAATAGCTATTTCAGAGCCACAGCCTTCCTAGCAGTGGGACCGAAAGAGTGACAATTATATGAGGATGTACTGAAGCAATCAGTAAAAAGAGAATGGTGGGTTGCTGACCTCCAAGAAAAGGAGGAATGAGATGCAAGCTAAAAAACCCCCCAAGGTCTGGAAGGAAGGCAAGGCATTCAGAAGTGTGAGAAGGTAGAATAGGGCTGAGAGAGGGGAGTATGAACTTTGACAGAAGCAGGTGAGAGAATGAGGCAGAGAAAGACTGAAGGGAATGTGCCATAGAAAGGTGACAACCAGAGCACCAAAGTACGGGCCCTTGAGCTGCATGCAAAATAACATGAAGCCTCGTAGGATTCTGGTAGCTTATGACTCACAGGCAAGACATCATCAGTTCTCGAGGGAAAGGGAAATACAAGTGTCCTCTCTACTATGAATGACCATGAAAACATTTGCAGCTGAAACAAATAGCTATTTCAGAGCCACAGCCTTCCTAGCAGTGGGACCTCACCTCTTGGTCCACAAATATGGGGTTCTGCATTCTCGAAGGAGGGCATTAAAAATGCCTAGTAAGTGCCACAGCCAGGATGGACTGATGGACATATAAAATACAGCTGGCTCAGCTAGACTAAAGTCAGCAGAGTAGCATATCAGGAGCAGCCT